CTGTAAGAGAGCAAAAGGCGAAACGTGCTCTCGAGCCCTACAAGCCGAAGCACGGCGAACTGCCGGTCTCAACCCAGCAACCTGAGACCCATCACCGAAGTAGACGACGGCGCAATCATCATCAATGAAAACTCGGCGGAAGTAAGCTCTGATGAAGGGCCAGAAATCAACATCAATGGAACATATCTCACCACCTTTGAGCGCTCCGCTTTAATCAACGGGACGAGAATCATTAACCAACGTGAGACGTTAAAAAAGAGTCCAGCCGTAGCAGGGTCTCCGCTTCTCAACATCATAAGCCATGACCCAGTGCTAAGCTTACCGCAACTTCATCGGATGAACGACCACAACTTACAAGTCATCAGTGAGTTTAAAGAGGAACTGGAGTCATCCGGATCCCAAGCTAACTGGCTCATCAGCGGTATAATCTTGGGCGTCGCCCTCAGCTGCATCCTCGTGAGCTATCACCTCTACCAACGCAGACAAGCAACAAAAATATTTCAGGAAACCATCAATAAGTACAATGTAACCGAGGCCGGTCACGAACTTAGTGGGGGGTAGTTAACAAGTAACCCTCGCGCTATAACTTTGTAGAATAAGTACTGCCCTCGCTTGCGCATTCCGCTGAAGCGCCAGAGTCAGCGCAATGCCCTTACAAAGTCAGCACCGGTAACATTGTTTAACGGTAGATTTGTTTAACAGTTATGCTGAGACGGCGTGTCGGTCGAATTCTTGTAGCTTAAGAATAACTGTAGTTTGTAGCTTTTGTCTCTTTTAGCTTTCGATTTCATTTTAGTTTTACTTTAAGTACAGTCTGGTTCAAGAGTTTTACGAATAAACACACATTGCTCCGGCACACTGCCGTTACTAAAATCATTTTGCTGATTAATATATTGCTGAGCCACAAGGCCTGTAATTTTGATATCTTAATTATATCCCATCATAATCTGCCTATCAATTTGATCTACATTGTGCTCCGAACGACGGCTTCCCCTAACGCGGACCCTGGACGGACGGAACTTAATAATTTCTATACGACTTTGTGTAGATGGGTGTGTTATCCGTTGTAGGTATCGTGTGCCTTATTTTATTCCAAAAGGTTTTCCTTATAGAACAGGTCGGAAAAGCCGTGACACAGTTGGAGGATCTTATTTTTTCCTCTTTGTTCATATATTCCGTTCTAATACATGTTAGATTGGTACAGTGAGTAATGAGAGGGGATGTTGCACTGTTCAGGCTATGGATTTGGATATTATTGTCTTCTTGGTATGACTCTACTCTTAAGGGTTGTTCTAGGCAGAATAAGAGGTCCTCAGGTGAGCTATTTATTATTTCTACTTTTCCCATGCTGTCCTCTGCCTTATATATTTTCTCTGATATGGTAACGCTATCTTTGATATTTATTTGTTGACAGTAAAAGTCCCCGTTTTGAATTGCAACTGGTATTGAAATCATGTTTTTTGCTTCTGCTGACACGTGATAAATTTCGGATGAATTATTGGCACCGCTGAAAATTGTTAATGACACTCTTGGTGATTCGAGTAAGAGATCGTTTAGATTTATTTTTGCACTAAGTGCATTAAGAACATCCATGCCCAGTAGGCCTTCGATAAATGAATGGAATTTAAACAACAGCAAATACCCCGTTTTGCTTAAATTCAGGCAATAAAGGGATAGTTATCTTCTTGCGAATTCTACAACTGTTAAAGGCTGTTGTTATAATTTTTGGTTCTTGTAAATCTATTATATTAATGATAGGGGCAGATTCAGGATTAATAAATGAGTTGGTGGACCCTGAGTCCAGTAAAAATTTTAATGGTTGTTTCTTGAGGGACGTAATAAAGATATAGTGGAGAGTAGAACTGTCGGATGCTTTTGAGCGAAAATGTTTGTCGGCTTGCTTCATTTCAGTATTATTAAGGTCTCCTCGTTGGTTGTCCCTATTAAATGGATTACGTCGGGTGTCCCTTTGTTCGTGTTCGCCGTTTCGCTGTCTGTCTGTTAGTCTGTGTTCAGGAGAGTCAGAGTTTTTCCGAAGTAACTACGATTTTGATTATAATTATTATTACGGTTGTAACTATAAATTGCGCTCCATTGGGGTTTGTATCCACTTGAGTTATACCTTCCGTATCGTGGTGGTGCGTCCCTGCTGTTTCGGTAGCTATTGTCGTAGTTTCGTCTGTCTCGGGTCGATGCGTTTTCGGTTCTGCATAGGTCAAATGCTTCTTCGATAGTTTGGGATCTTTTAGTCTAATAAGGGACTTCAATGGTTCTCTAAGTTCGCGGAAGAACACCCAGAGACATAGGTTGCTATAAAGAGTCTCTTTAGCTAGCCAGGGAAATCAATTGCTTTTTATATTGAATATGTCGGAATATAATATGGTTAAGGTTAAGCCCCCGACACATTTTCAATGTCGCCGATTAGGGCTTCTTCAGTTCGCCTAACCCCAAATGCACGAATTAAACTTCTTTTTATGTGGTCCCAATTTAAGGAGGGGTTGGCTTGGTCGAGAATATCCCTGGCCCTGCCCACGATTTTATTCCTAATGTTCCTGAGGAGGACTAGTCCATGTAATGTCCGATATGATTCGAAGATTAGAAGAATAAATTCCTCGACACTGGTTAAAAATGGGTGTTGGGAGAGCCGTCAAAAGTTTGCCGTTCTTTAACGTATTCTAACATGGTGTATTAGGTTTACTGAGGACATGGTAACCGTAGGGTTCCATGGTGCATTAGAAGGGCTGGGTTCGTTATTTGAAGATCTGGGCTCCATATTATTAACGTCTTTATTTAACAATGTCACTTCTTCTGTATTAATGGGAGGCTTGGGAGGCTAACGCTGTTTCAAAGCTAATATCTATGTTTCCTAGGTAGAATTAGTTTCGAGACAAACCCTAATTTTGTTTTTGTCATTTAGTCTAGGGATTTATGAATATCAACAAAATGTTTTACGTTATTTTTTAAGAGTTCAAATACTAAGGTGTGTGTGAGAAACAGAATTTCGTATGTTTTCTTTCTATTTTTTTTATCCTTTTTTTCTTTCAGAACTGCAATATATATTTGGTTGGTGTGTGTTCTAATCGAATATGTAATTGTTTGAACGGTTATACGACGTGGCGCAAAATGTGATTCTGATTGTTGCACAACTGCTGAGTGGCCAACCTTGCGTTGCCTTATCTCTTGCAGGGCGTCGCTCGAAGCGTAATATAAATTTCGTTTGCCTTCAATGTAATCGCTCGAAGCGAAATACAAATGTTGTTTCCTTACAATGTAATGTGCGGTACTCAAAAGAGTCGCGGCGCCGGCGCCAGCACTAATAGCGCAATACACATTCACTGTACCTGGGATCTGCGGCATCGGCACTTGTTTTGGAATTTATATATATGTTGTAGCATCACTAATATTCTTATTGTTTGGCATTGCTTTAGCGTAGCAAGTTTCGATTACACTCAGATCCCAAATACAACTGAACTCTGTCAGTCTCTCATTGCTTGGGCCTTCCATCAAACCACACTCGGCGACAGAGCGGTCGCCTCGCTAAAACTTTACCAAACTACAAAACACAGGCAACCAATCGCAACGCACAAAAAAGGATGATGCAATATCAGCATAGTGTTGCAATTATGTTTCTACGAAAATGCTCGAAGACACACCAATGCATATGTAGTGTGACCTTCAAACATATTACCAGCAAGCGCCGGTAAGGCGCCTGTATTTTCGACTACCTACTCTCCGGCATATGTATATACATTTATCGCGACGCGTTGGGTCAAGAAGCTCGCAGTGCGGCCCACGAAAGACACGGCGGCATCATCGAAATGATACCGCAAAACACCGATATCTCTTGTGTTTTCGCAAGGTTTTTCTTTCTTTTCGTTTTTTTTTTTCACACATTTTGTTAGTCTTGTCACCATTTCTACTTATACCACGTAAAGAGCTAATATTGCTGCTACTACTGCGTTGAGCATCTCCTTATATTTTTCGGCTGCTGACGAGCGTCACACGTCCATCTCGTTCGGCTTTGTTATTGCTTCTGATTCGTGGTCAGTGACGTTACTCCCGCTCAGTGCCACATAGTGCATCGGGATGGTCACTTGCGCAATCGCTGAATCATGCATATGTTGACAATAAAGTGCCAAATTGTAGCGTGCGAGGGGCACTCGTAATCTTATATATACCGTGCGGTAAATTAAAAAATGAGGTCAGTATTAACTTCTAACTATATACCGTTTTTTTTTCGATTTGAATCCTTTGGACGAGCCTACAATAACATATACGTCCAATTTACTGTTTATGACTCAAAAAAGGTGTAAATTTAAAGGGTAAAAAAAGATAAACGGGGGTACATAGGAGTCCAACCATCTGTCCGTCTCTTCGCATGAATACAAACCATTTTTCCACTATTAAGGTTAGAGATTTAAGATTTAGAAAATACTCTTTTCCATACGAAGAAACCAAACCGACCATAAAATCGTAGTTATCAAACTATATATATAACAAAGCATATTAATTTTAATTGATAGAGGGAACTACTTTAAGCTTTATACTTCAGAATAGGGGCCCAGAAGGGCATAGAATCATCTGCATAAGGTGTCCTACATATGATATTCAATTGAGAACAAGTACAGTCGTATGTGCCCGCAACATTCCTATTTCTATTGCTCTCATAAATTGAAGTTTAATATTAAATATAGCCAAATTGTAAGAGTTTATATTATTAGCAATGAACTTAATTTTTCATATATGCATATAATCGATCCACGATCGGTTGCTTAAAATTTAAGTATAATATGCTAAGTTGCATATAAGTTTTTAGAGAAAGCATGTGTGACATAAGTATTAAGCAATCAGCTATAAGCGTATGTATTTTCGCGACTCTACTTAAATCAAATAAAATATCAGCTTCTACTTTATAATAAAATTGGCTTTATTTTAGCAGAACCATTTTTATGGAATGATCGTTCAATTATGTGACAAAGTTGAAAATCGTACTCACTTACCTATATTTAAAAATTGTACTAATGCTCTCCGATGGAAATTTACACATTCGTTGATCTACAGCTTCATTAATTACATCCTCCGTATTATGTATTTCTTCGATATTAAAATTGTACACAGTACGCCGTAAATTTATTGCGTATCCTACAGTGTTAAAATACGGCATATCCTCAGGACTGTGGATATAAAGCTATTATTGTTTGATTAAATAAATTTTTTGAAATAATTATAAAAAAGAGTCGACTGATCGACTCAGAGTTACCGTGAAGCATAATGGTTAGTACCTAAATTTTTGAATCAAATATAACCATATCCCGCTGACAATTACTTCAATAGAATATGTAGATTATATATAAATTATGTAATTGTGTTGAATTGTGTTGGGAAGTTGACTTCCTCCCTTGACCTACTGGCCTTTGGGTACAGTGGTCTTATAAAATGATAAAAGCAATTGTCTTGACGGCTTGTGCCGGAGCAAATACGATTTATTCCAATGAGTGTCTACGTAAAACTAAAACTTAAACTCAAAGTCAAAGCTAAAGCTAGAAGCAAAAATGACCAGAGTCATAGCCGGCAGTGCCGACTCAGCATAAGACTCAGCACAAAAGCTCAACATAACTGTTAACACTTCAACTTGCGGTTTGCGCAAGTATCATGTTTACCGTTCCTATTCAGCAGCAGGGGCATTGCACTTATTTGTCAGCGAAATGCGAGTGCGAGGGTAGCTTAATATTAGAGGGCCTAGCGTGCTATGGTTACTATTACCCCACCAAGTTCGTGAGTGTCCTCGGTCACGTTGTATTTGCTGATGGCTTTTTGTAGCTCCTTCGATGATTGTCTTCGCTTAAAAATATGATAGATGATGATAAAACAATTGCATGCGATGCTCAAGATGATGCCAATGGTTAGCCAGCTTGCATATGTACCGGTCGACTCCAATTCTTCCTTAAGTTATTCATCATTAATATTGAGTCATGGCTGATGATATTTAGAAGAGGTGACCCAGCAATGCCTGGCGTCTTATTCACCATCTCGCGCCGGTTGACATATTTAGTGCCATTGACGACTGCAGAAAGCGATTTCTGGGCCGTCGTCTGTAATGACTTTCGCTGAGCTCTCGTTGATAATAATGATGCCTTCATCCACTTCTGTAATGGGATTCAAATGGCTTGGGATTCAAATGGCTTGGTGTGCGGCAAAACGCTGCGCTACCGGCGTGGTGTGCACGGGCGCAAGTATCTCGTGTGGCTAGTTTGTAGATCGCAGCGTAGGTGGTTGTGACGCATTCGTTGACTGCTAATACATCGTCGTTGCATTTGGCAATGGTATCCTCTTCTAGTTATATTGCGACGTGTTGATGTGAGACAGGGAATATTGTGATCATCTTGCAGATGGACTTGATTCTAGGGTATGCTTTTAGTATGTGGAATAACATTTTCGGACTGAAGGATTTTAATTTTTGCCGCTTCGATTAGGCTGACTATGGGTATTTCTAAAGGATGTTCATCTAAAATTGTCTTTAAATCGTTATGATCGAAAATGGTAAGATTTATAATATCAGACTTAGCCAGTGTTATTGTAAGTATCAAATTTTGAATTTGGGTTATTAACATTCTGTTTCATGCTAACAACGCTTCATATAAATGCGGGTTGTCGACAAATTCCTTCTTTTTAGCCTTAATTATTTCGTTTACCGTCGCTGTGATTTTATTAATCTGTTTCTGAGTTCCTGTGTTTATCTCTATCTGCCTGTTATTTGCATTAGCCAGTTGTGCTTCGGACCATTTAATTATTTCGTAATCGGACGCATCTGGAGTGCCAGCTATTACTTTGAGCGCAGTGCCTAAAAAATCTAAGCTTCTCGCCATTCTGTGGTGTATTTTTATTACGGACAACAAATTTTTATATGTCTATGTCTAACAATTCTGACAATATGTAGCTAGAATGGGAATAGTCAATGATCCGACTATGTGCTGTCCCTAATAATAAGAGGATCGTAAGGCTAATCCTGTAAGAGGAGCGGAAAGAAAAACGGGAGGTGAAAAATAATTGTAGAGCATTTTATTTCTATTTTTAGCTTATGTTGAAAAGTGTGGATAATTCTTACTTGAGATTGTCCTTGTGGACCACGCTCCCCTTAATGACAACTGAGGTTCCCAAGTCTGCTTCTATTACTTCCTCCGTGAATAATGGAGTCAACTTTTTGCCTAGCCTTCTGTTATATTTTATAAGAACTTTTTCGCCTACCTCAAAGATTCTGTTTTGTCTATCCGGGTTACACCTTGCAAGATTGTCTTGCTGCGCTTTGGTGATTTTGTCTTTGATGGCTTGCCTAAATTCGCTAGGTGCTGCATATATAACCTCTATAGGCTTTTGGTTTGTGACTGAATGTATGGTTCGGTTGTATGCTACCGTTGCCCTCATAATAAGTTCTGTCGTGTCGGAGGACATCTTGTCCATTCTAAAAGCCCTCGCAATGTCACCTAGAGTGCTGTGGAAACGTTCCACTTGCCCATTCGAGCTGCTGTGAAGTGGGGGTGCATTGACAACATCTATGTTATAGCCATTTTTAAGAAGTGATGTTATAGTTTCCGAGTTAAAGGAAGCTTCGTTGTCACAATATATAGTTTTCACTTCTGGAAAAAAATTTATCAGTTGGATAATGGGTATTTTTATGTCCACTATTGTGCGGGATGACAGTGGTTGTACTACGGCAAATTGTCGCCAGCATATGACGGTATTGGGGTCACCCCCATTTCCTGTTTTTGTGGGTGCCTGTCATACTTTGTTCTGGTGCATGCTTTGCCTCATTTGCCAGTTTAGCCATATTTGGAAAGTAATATTCACGGAGAATTTGTTTTACATTTTCTTTCTTTCTAACTTTCTAACTGGTCATTTTTGTTAGTAATGTCTTCCACCATGTTCTTACAGTGCCAGAATTTTGTAGCAGGGTAATTTAATACCAAGTCGTGTTGGACACAGGCTAAAGTCGGCAAATCACAATGTATTGCATTTACAGCGTCTGCGACAATGAGTGGTTTCAGTGTTTTGAAAAGATTATTCTTATCTGTGAAGTGAATAATGTGACGGATCTTTTTACCAAAAAGTATAATGTCTTGTTTCTATTCGAACCGTGCTTCTTCTAAAACAATTTGGTTTTTGAAGCAGTTAAGTGGGTTTTCGGTTGTTTCGACCGTGTAGGTCAGTGAAAGTTCGCTATGAACAGTAGCAGCGTCAGATTGGGGTTCATTTTCTAAGGCATTCACGTTTTGCCTTGATAGGGCATCCGCAACTAAATTTTCCTTCCTTCAGTGAAGATGTTAATCTCCCTTGTGCCATATAGATAGTTTTGTAACTTGCCTAATGCCCATACAATGGCCAATAGCTCTCTTTCGTTAGTGGCATAGTGTGCCTCGCTTTGTTTTAAAGCTCGTAAAATCATGGTGACCGGTCTACCCCCTTGGGATAGAACCGCGCCGATGCCATCCATTGAGGCATCAGTGGTCAGGTCAAAAGGCTGTTTGAAATCTGGATACATGAGCATGACATCTTCTGATGCCAAAATGTTTCGCAGATTTTCAAATGCATTGCGTTGGGTTTGGTTGAATTCAATTTCGATTTTTTTGGATCTGTGTTTACTGACAGAGCCATTTTCTCCTTTAAGGATGTTAGTTAAGGATGCGAAATTCCTGATAAGCCCTCTATAGTAATTAGCGAGGCCGAGAAATGACCGGAAACTAAACAAATTTTTTGGCTCGGGGTACTCTTGTATAGCTTTGACCTTCTCGGAGTCAGTCGCGGCACCGCCTCTAGCAACTATAAATCCTAAAAATTCTACGCTCTCTTTGAAGAATTTCGTTTTTTCCTGAGCTACTCTCATGTTGGCTTCACACAGGCATTTTAATACCGTGTCGATGTGGCGAACATGATCGGCTTCATTTTCGGAAAATATTATTACATCGTCTACATATACATAACATATTTTCCCTAATTGTTCCCTCAAAACATCGTCAATGGCTCTTTGAAAGATGCTTCCTGCATTTTTTAAGCCGATGGACAATCGGCAGAATTCGTACTTGCCACCATTTATTGAAAATTAGGTTTTTTCGCGGTATTGCTCCGCTAAGTAGATCTGGTGGTACCCTGACCTTAAGTCTAGGGTCGTGAAAAATTTTGCCTCACCTAGATTCGCTAGAATCATCGGAATACTCGGCATGGGATATCTGTCGGCAATAGTTCGCTCGCTTAGCTTTTTAAAATCACCAGTCTCTTTTTCTTGTTCCCATTGGCATCTGCCCCTTTTTTGTCAACAACTCATACAGGGCTGTTATACGGGGATCTTGATGGTCGTATGATGCCATCTTTGAGTAGTTGCTTGATTTCATCGTTTACAAAGTCAGCAACTACCATAGGGTATGGGTACAGTTTGGAATATGTTGGTTCTTTATCTATGGTACGGATGGTAGCCACAATTGAGGTATTAAATGGCAGCGCCTCGTTAGAGGTTGAGAATGCCTTTGTTCTTTTTAATATCATATCCTTGAACTCCTTTTTAATGGAGAGGGGTACGATTATGTCGATGACGTTTGTAAAGTTTACATTGTCACAAATGTGGTATTGAAGTGAAAGGGGTATCGATGGGCGTTACATTTGGGAGCTCCTTTACGGGCCTTATGTAATTTTTCGTCGCCCAGCCAACTGTCGTTTGATATACGGCAGCTGGGAGCGTTCCCTAAAAAATTTAATGAGTCACTGTTATCTATTGATTCATTATCATCGTCTATGTCAGCTACAATGGCTGTTGCTGCGTTGTTGTAATTTTGTTCCTGTTCGTTAGCGGCTTCTTGAACGACATTATTCAAGCGTTGACGCTCTTGGCCTGTGGCCCGATCGGAAGTATTAGATCTTTTTGAGGTCTGCTCGTTATTTGTTTGGGGTCTTGCATAAGCAGTGGGCTGTCTATGTCTGGATATGGAGGGATCAACCTCCATTGTCCTGCCTATCGTTGTTGGAGTTTTGCTTTTTAAAAAAATGTGTGTTTTTTTCGTGGCCCCGTTCATCCCTGTTATTGTTATTTTGTCTGGTGTGACGGTTTTTATTAGTCTCACTTGTTTGAGCCCTTTCTTCTAAAGCCTTGGCATAAGAGACCGAGAAAATACTTCGATCAATGCTTGCCTCCGCCTCCCTGGC